CATGTGGAGGATAAAAATCAAGAGGGCTACCTCCTCTGTGAAGATCCTCTCTGAGGAGTGAGTGGTCCCAGTTCTACATCAGGCCTCCCAGCTCAGGGTTCCAGTACCAGGAAGAGAAGTCCCCATAACTTCTGGCTATAAAAACCAGTGGGAACTGAGGCTGAGGGAGACTAAGGCTGCTGGAGTTTCAGGCAGTTCCACTTAAAGGGCCCGCTCCCTCCAGGCTCCAGCTCCCTCCAGGCTCCAGCGCTGGGGAGGCAGCTTGAAAGGCACCAGAGACATCCCTGGGAAGAACTGAGTTGGCATTGGGGTGAGAGCTGGAGAGGCAGCTTTCTCCTGGACAGATGTGCAGGTGGAGGCCATTGTTCCTTTGGTGAGCCCCTTCCCCTACAGGTCCCACAGGCGGCAGCCATATCTGGGACTCCAGCAACCTAGCTCACACTGTTTGCTCTGTGCTGGTGATTCTCTAAGGCCCTGCCCCACACAACTTTCAGGCCCATCTAAGCTGTTTGTAGTGGCTTTATCATAGGATTGGCCTGACTTGGATCCTGCTTCAGATTTTCCTAATTTTTTTCCAACAATCAGCACCTGGCCTCAGCAAGCCCCATGCCTCTAGCTAACTGGCCCCAGGCCTGGCACTAGAAGGAGCCAGCCTTGGTTCATAGCTTGGCTTAGAATGGACACCTCCAAGACCAGCACAAGAAGCAGCCATCTGTAGATCGCTTTGTAGCTTGTGCCTGGTGGTCCCAGGTAAAAAACAGGCAGAGGCTGACCTTGCCCCAGAGCCAGCACACCTAGTGGACAGCTTGAGACCATGTCAAAGCACCACCACCCAACCACCTCCACAAATGACACACTCTAGGACTGGATTCAGTGGGTACCAGAGCCCTGTTGAAGAAAATCTTGTTCTGTGTGGTGGGCCCTGCACAGATAATTCTCCAAGGTAGTCAGAGGTCAGTGGTCAGTGAGTACAGCCAGTCCTTGCAGCTGACCAGCCTGAGTAAATCCCTCACATTGACATGACAAAAGCAATCAAGACTCAGTTACAACAGAAGGGTAGACAGTCCACATGAGGGCTACACCTCAAGGGCCCAGCTGGGGTGACAAGGGAGGCTGTGCCTCTGGACCCTACAGGACACCTACTACAGTAGGCCACCCTAGTAAGCCTAGGGGACATAGCAACTCTACCTAATACATAGAAACAAACACATGGAGACAGCCAAAATGAGGAGACAAGGAAAGGTGTCCCAAATGAAAGAACAGAACAAAACTCCAGGAAAAGAAAACAAATCAGAAATAAGCAATCTGACAGATGCAGAGTTCAAAACACTGGATATATGGACTCTCAATGAACTTAGTGAGAATTTCAAGGAACTTTGTGAGACCATCAAGGAACTTAGTGAGAACCTCAAGAACATAAAAAGGGGCCAGTCAGAAATAAAGGATGCACTAACTGAAATAAAGAAAAATTTACAGAGATTCAGTGGTAGAGTAGGTGAAGCTAAGAAGCAGCCATTGATTTGGAATATAAGGAAGCAAAAAACACCCAATCAGAACAAAGAATTCCAAAAAATGAGGATAGTGGAAGGAGCCTCTGGGACAACTTCAAACATAACATTTGCATCATGGGAGTGTCAGGAGGAGAGAGAGAGCAAGAAATTGAAAACCTATTTGCAAAAGTAATGACAGGAAACTTCCCTAACTTGGTGAAGGCAACAGACATACAAGTCCAGGAAGCACAGAGTCCCAAACAGAATGAACCCAAAGAGGCTCACACAAAGATACATCATAATCAAAATGCAAAAGGTTAAAGACAAAGAGAGAATCTTAAAAGCAGCAGGAAAAAAGCCGTTAGTTACCTACAAAGGATGTCCCATAAGACTGTCAGCTGATTTCTCAGAAGAAGTTTTGCAGGCCAGAAGGGAGTGGCAAGAGATATTCAAAGTGGTGAAAAGCAACAACTTTCAACCAAGAATACTCTATCCTGCAAAGCTATCATTTAGAATCGATGGACATATCAAGAATTTCCCAGACAAGAAAAAGCTAAAGGAGTTCATCACCACCAAACCAGTATTATATGAAATATTGATGGCTCTTTTTGAAGAAGAAGAAGAACAAAAATATGAACAAGAAAATGGCAGTAAATACATATCTATCAAAAATTGAATCTACAAGCAAAATGAGCAAGCAGAACAGAAACGGACTTATAGATACAAAGGACTTTTTGTTGGTTGCCAGATGTGAGGGGGTTGGGGGATGGGTGAAAAAGGTGAAGGTATTAAGAAGTACAAATCAGTTGTTGGATGGATGAACCTCCAAAGGAAGGGGGGAAGGAGGGCATGAAGAGATAAATCAGAGAACATACATGCATAATTAGTGGACACAGACAATAGTGTGGGGAAGGCAGGAGGGGGTCGAGAGTGGGGAGGAGGAGGTCAATGGGGGCAAAAAGGAGGGACATTTGTAATACATTCAACAATAAAGATAAGTTTAAAAATAGAAAAATAAGTGATTATGGGACCTGGCCAGTTTGGCTCAGCAGTTAGAGTGTTGGCCCACGGACCAGAGTTGCAGATTTGATTCTGGTCATAGGCACATACCTTCATTGTGGTTCAGTCCAGCCCTGGGTGGAGTTTTGCAGGAGGCAGGCAATGTGTGTCTCTCACATTGATGTTTCTCTCTCTCTCTCTCTCTCTCTCTCTCTCTCTCTCTCTCTCTCTTTCTCCCTCTCTCTCTCTCCCCCACTCCCACTCTGTCTGGAAATAAATGGAACAATACTCTCGAATGAGGACTAAACAAGAATAAATAAAAATAAAGTAAATATGGAACAGCAATTCCATTTCTGGGTATATAGTCGAAGAAACCCAAAACACTAATTCAAAAGAATATGTGCATTCCTATGGTCATGCAGTGTTATTTATAATAGCCAAGATATGGAAGCAATCAGTAGATGAGTGGATAAAAAAGTGGTGGGGTGTGTGTGTATGCGCCACACACACACACACACACACACAATGGAATATAATTCAGCCATAAAAAAGAATGAAGTCTTACCATTTGCAACAGCATAGATGGACCTAAAGGGTATTATTCTAAGTGAAATAAGTCTGGAAGTCAGAAAAAGAAATAACCATATGATTTCACTTGTATGTAGAACCTAAAGAACAATATAAACAAACAAAACAGAAACAGACTTATAGATACAGAAAACAGACTGATGGCTGCCAGAAGAAGGAGTACTGGGGAACTGGGTGAGAAAGTTGAAGGGAAGAAAAGTACATATAGTTATGGAATAGTCACAGGGATGTAAAGTACAGCATAGGGAATATAATCAATAATATTGTAAATACTATGTTTGATACAAGGGTGGGTAAATACTATGTATCATATGTATCATACATAGGGAACACTTTGTAAAGTATATTACAGTGCTATACCCCTGAAACTAATACAAAATAATATTGAATAAAAAAAAAAACACACTTTTGATTAAATGAAAAAAAATGTAACTGTGAAAGTTCTATGCTATAGTGGGTAGAGATTGTTGCCTGAGTTACTGGATTTCACTGTTGACATATCAGATATACACTGTAAATTATAATTTTGTAAAAATCAAACTAAAAGTGTTAGGTAGGGTAATTTAAATACATTGGCGTCTTTTATAAGTTTGAAAGCTTTACTTCTGTGGTCATATGTAAAGGTATCTATAGTTACTGTTTTTATTGTAGCTATTTGAATTTTGACAGGTTTTAAAAATGAGTAGGTCATTCTGGGGATCACATTTATGTATTTGATGTGTAAAGAATGTTTCTTGTGAGGAACTAGAGAAGAGCTGTTTTGTAATGTAGTATTTTTTCCTTTAGTTCATCTACATTTGCAACATTAATAGTAGATTGCGAAAGTGACACTTTCCCTGTTACTTGTTTTAATTGATATTGCTTAGTATATATCTGTACTTTTATTTGCCTTTACTTGCTCATGTAACATTTTTTTCTCTTAGAAGTATGATTATAAATGACTAAATTAGGAATTCTCCTGGGTACCTTGTAAATGAAAATATGGGAGATGCTTTGTGACACTGGGGGAGTGCTGCCAGTCAGGAGGGTGGTCATTTAGTGCCTACTTAGTATTGTGGTTATACCATTAGGAGTTTTACTTTTCTTTGTAATACCCAGTAATTGATACATGGTAGACAGTGTTGACTGTGGGATTGAATTACTCTGACTTTGTTTCTAATCATGAATTTTTTTTCTTTATAAATTCTTAACAATTTTAACATCATCTTTATTGTGAACTATAAATATTCTAAAGTTCTTAGTGACTGATTAGGTCACTTCACATTTTTATTCATTTTTTTAAATGCTATTTTACTCTTTTTTTTCTTTTCTTTTTTAAATACTTACCTGAGGGTATTTTTTCCATTTATTTTCAGACAGAATGGGAGGGGGATAGTGAGAGAGAGAGAGAAACACCAGTGTGAGCGAGCATATTGATAGGTTGCCGCCAGCATGACCCCGACTGGGGTCAGGACTGAACCGCAACTGAGGTATGTGCATGTGATGGGAATCCAACCTGCAACTCTTTGGTTTGTGGGCTGATGCTCTAACTGCCTAGCCAAACTGGCCAGGGCAATGCTATTTTACTTTTTTTATAGTTAAAAAGTGACCCTTTGTCATGATATTTTTTTAAAATCCTCACCCGAGGATATTTTTCTGTTTATCTTTAGGTAGAGTGGAGGGAGGGAGGGAAGAGAGAAAAAGAGAGAGAGAAACATCCATGCGAAACACATCAATTGGTTGCCTCTCACATGACCCTGACCAGGGCTGGGGACCAAAAGCAACCGAGGTAGGTGCCCTTGACTGGAACTGAACCTGTGACTCTTTGGTCCACAGGCCAGCGCTCCAACTGCTGAACCAAACTGGCCAGGGCTAATTTAAAAATTATCATACATTTAAAAAATAGAATTACTTTAATATTTCTTTTTTTCTTTGTTATCTTAGCTTCACAATGAAGAGGATAATACAGAATCATCTGCTGTGGAGCAACCATCAACTTCACACCCAATACCACAGACCATGCTGATTGCTCCTTCAGCATCAGTACTTGAAACTGACTCTTCTCCTCCACCTTATAGTAGTATTACTGTGGAAGTACCTACAACTTCAGGTATTGTTGTTTTTATAATGAAATACACAATAAATAAAAAGAATGTTTTGTTTAAAAAATTTTTTTTCCTTATTGATTTGAGAGAGAGAGGAAGGGAGAGGGAGAGAAATAGAAACATCGCTGAGAGAGAGAGAGAGAGAGAACATTGATTGGCTGCCTCCTGCATGCCCCCCACTGGGGATTGGGCCCACAACCTGGGCATGTGTCCTGACCGGGAATTGAATCAGCGACCTCTTGGTGCGTGAGTCGATGCTCAATCACTGACCCACACCAGCCGGGCTAACAAGAATGGTTTTAATAGCTCAGGTTTTTTGTTCGTTTGTTTTTTATCAGTATGGTTTTGTGTGATTATGTCTATTAATAAAATTCTTTGGTTTTATGATTAAAAAAAAAAAATGTTTTCCTAAGGATAATTTGTAAAATATTTACTTCATACATTACTTGTCTCATATTGTTCCTTAAAATTTTTAACTTATAAGTGTAGCTATATAAACTTTTATGCTTACTAAAATTTATTGCCAATGGATTAGCATGTAACTTTTGGAAGAAATGAACAAACATACACACGCATATATTAATATACACATATACACATATATACATAATATGTGTGTGTGTTTATGTATCTGCTTACAGTCATAAAACAAGGTGTTATTAATGAGTATGAGTGAGAATATGGAATGTATTGAAAGAGGCATAGAGTGTATGTAATTTCATCCCATACACATGGTATGTGTATACTTCTTGGGCACAAAGTAGTGACTCCTGCTTGCTACTGTGCATCTTTTCCTTTCAGGTCATTCTGAAGAACTACCCTCATCTGTTTCTCTGGGCACAATTTGCATTTTCCTAGACACTAATTTAATCATTATAGTGTTTTAAATGTGATTTTATATACTGTTATAAATAACCTCTAAGTATTTTACATATTCTTTTTGAAATAGTTTAAAAATCAGTTATTGGAAAACATTTTAATGTAAAAACTCCTTCATTAGAGTATTTAATTTTTCTTACCTCATATTCTGTAATTAGTGTCATCTACTTTTCTCAAACTCATGCCAGCTTTCTCTGGTTATTATTTTTTCTTGTTCAAATTTTATCTAGACCATATGGGATGTGTAAAAAGATCCGGTATTTTTTACACCAAATTTATTTACTTCTTTATGCAGTTAGTTAAAATCATCTCTATGAACATGTTCTCACTAGTTAAATTAGTAAAGGCTTACTTCTTCTATTTGTATATAATGTTTTTTGATCAACATGCTTGTTCAGCACCCAGTTTGATACACAGTTTTTATGTTGATTTATATCCGTTTTATTTCTTTGGCTTTAAAATTTTTTTACCAGATTGGTGTTTTCTAAAATTTATTATGGGCTAACTTTTCTTCATTATTTTACAAGTTTCCAGAGTATATACTACAGTGAATTTGCTACCCTAGTTTTTTATTTTTTTAATCTGTTTGATGGTAATCTTGAAGGAAGAAAATCCTGAAGATATCTATTTCTGAATGATAGAAGATACTAAAAGTGAAATTGCAATCTCTTTGTTGTGACTACCATTGCTATGTGGTGTACCAAACTGCCTCAAATTTACTGGAGTAAAGTAACAGTCATTTTTTATTAATTCTCATGGTTTTGGCGGTAGACTGGGCTCAGGTGTGCAGTCTTCTCTCAGCGTCTCATGATTTTCATCTGTCGGTGACTATTCTTGGAGGCCTCTTACAGGCTTTCTTATTCGACAGGCTTCGGCTAAGGCCTCAGGTGAGGCTGTTGCTCTCCACCTATATGTGGCCTCTTGTGGCCTGTGTTTCCTCTCTGATGGAGGCTGGGGTTCTTAGAACAGTATTCTGAGAGAAAGTTAGATGGGAGGTAAATCACCTTTTATGACAGTGCCTCAAAAGTTACACAGTGTCACATCTGCCACATTTGGCTTGTTAGAAGTGAGTCACTAAATTTAGTCTTTATTCAAGACTATTAAGAAGTTAGTCTCCACCTCTTGATGGGAAGAGTTTCTTTCTTTTTTTAAATTAAAAATCTTTTCTGTTAATTTGAGAGAGAAACATTGATTAATTGTTCCATTTATTTATGTATTCAGTAGTTGATTCTTGTATGTGCCCTGACAGGGACTTGAACCCACAACCTTGGTGCATTGGGATGATGCCCTAAACAGCTGAACTACCCAGCCAGAGCTTTATGGGAAGAGTTTCAAACAACAGGCCAAAGTTTAAAACCACCAAAACTGCCTAGTGTCTTTTCCTCTACCACCAAACCTTTTTTTTTGACAGTCTTCCCTATTTCTTTTTTTTTTTTTATCCTCACCAGGGGACATTTTTGCATTTATCTTCAGATAGAGCTGGAGGGAGAGAGGGGGAAGAGAGAGAGAGAGAAACATCAATGTGAGAGAGATACATTCACTGGTTGCCACTCACACAACCCCAACCAGGGCTGGGGACAGACTGCAACTGAGGTATATGCCCTTAGTGGGAACCGAACCCAGGACTCTGGTCCGCAGGCCGACTCTCTTAACTGCTAAGCCAAACCGACCAGAGCTGGTTTTCCCCATTTCAGTAAATGGCTTCAGCAGGTCAGAAACTTTGGGGTAATCTTTTTGGTACTTTATCATAAAATTTTGGGTTTTTCCTCCAATTTGATGTTAATTAATAGATTTTTTTTTCTTAAAGCTAATCCATCCCTATATTCCTGGAATAAATTCTGTTTGTCTTCATATTCTAGTCTCTTCTGGATATAATGTTTATTTAATGTTTTTACAGCTTTATTAGTGGGATCTATAACTTTTATGTACTATCTATATGGTTTTGGTTTTACTATTACAGAAGCAACATAAAATGAATTGAGAAGCTTCTTATTTTTTTCTATGGTCTGGAATAGCTTTGATAATGTAGCATGACATTTTTAAAGGTCAAATAAATTACAACTGTAGGCCCTGGCTGGTGTGGCTCAGTTGGTTGAGCGTTGTCCTGTGCACCAAAGAGTCACTGGTTCAGTTCCCAGTCGGGGCACATGCCCAGGTTGTGGGTTAGGTCCTCTGTCAGGGTACACATGGGAAGCAACCTATAGATATTTCTCACATCAGTGTTTCTCTCTACTTTTCTCTCTAAAATCAATAAAAACATAAAAAATTCCAACTGTACAACAATTTGAGCCTAGTACCTAGCTGTTGAGTTATTCTTAGACTCTTCTCTGTGATTATTGGTATTATTTTTTGAACCTGTGCTAAAAGACCTTTCATAACTATAATTGAGCACAAGAACTGAGTAATTCTAGAATTTTGGGTCTCTGTTTAGTGAAAACTACTGCTACTAGGTTTCTTCGTCTTCTTAGTCATTGTTGTTATATTTTAAACATGGGGAGTGCCAGTTTTCTGTGGAGATTATGTTCTGTGATAGGTCACTTTATGGCTGGTTCATACATCTGAGTAACATCAGTAATGGTTGACATTTGTATAATGCTTCATAGTGTACAGAGTCCTCTTGACTCTTTTGTTTCATTCCATAATAGTAACTAATAGCCTTTCTGGGTTAGTTTTATTGCTTAGAAAATGGGACTTTATGGTGTTTAAGTGATTTGCTTGAGATACATTCTAAGCAGAGGACCTGGGGCTGGAGTTCCTTAGATTTTAAATCCTCTGGTTGAGAACCATTGCCTTAAAAGATAGAGGAAAACTAAGTAAAATTAACAAGTGAAATTAAAGCTGTAGCAATTTAATGCTTCTTCTCAACTTTCATCTATTACTGGTGGGAATATTTTTTCTATCTTGGATGTTAAAATTTTATTTTGTTCTTTTTCTTTTATATTTTTTCTTTATTGATTTTAGAGTGAGAGGAAGGGAGAGGGAGAGAGATAGAAACATTGAAGAGAGAGAACATCGATCAACTGCCTCCTGCATGCCCCCCCACTGGGGATCAGGCCCACAACCTGGGCATGAGCCCTGATCAGGAATTGAACTGACGATCTCTTGATGATTGGGTCAATACTCAACCAGTGAGCCACACCGATCAGGCACTGGATGTTAATACTTTATGAAAACTTACATATCTGTTAATTTAAAAAAAAAAAAAATTATTTGCGAGAGAGAAAAAAAATTTTGATTTGTTATTCCACTTATTTATGCATTCATTGGTTGATTTTTGTTTGTGCCCTGACCAGGGACTGAACCCACAACCTTGTATCAAGGACTACACTAACCAACTGAGCTACCTGGCCCCGGTTATATCTGTTGTTATTATAAAAGATCTAATATCCTTGGATAATGTGTCATTGTTCTAGTTTTTAAAATTATTTAAATATTATTGCCTTAAAATTTATAACTTTTATTTTCACTTAAATTTTGATTCTACTCTAGTCTTTAGAACTAAACAAATCTGTTTACTTGACTCTATTGTGTTTTTATATCCTAATAATAAGTCTCTTCTAAGAATTATGAATCGTGTGCCTTTTGGTAGATAGCATTCAAGTATTTTATTGGTACTATCACTTCCTTTCATCAGATTAAAAATCTGAAGTTCAGATTTTTAGCTCTTTTAGATAGCATTAAAAAAAAAACCCCTTATTGCCCTGGCCGGTTTGGCTCAGCGGTTAGAGCGTCGGCCTGCGGTCCTGAGAGACCCGGGTTCGGTTCCTGCTAAGGGCGCGTACCTCGGTTGCAGTTTGTCCCCGGCCCTGGTCGGTTGTGCGGGTGGCAGCCACTCGATGTGTTCCTTTCACATGGATGTTTCTCTCTCTCTCTGTTCCTCTCTCTCCCTCCCAATCTACCTGAACAAAAAATGGAAAAGTATCCTCGGGTGAGGATAAAAAAAAAAAAATTAAAAAAAAAAACAAAACCCTTATTTTAAAGCCTATATACATAAAACACAATAAGAAAAGTTTGCTAAAGTAAAATGTGTTTTCATGTTAGAAATGCAAGAAATTCTGGTAAAGATAGAGAATGTTATAAGCCAATGTAGAAAATGTAAATGCTGTAGTTATAAAAGAGGAAAATACAGAAGTGATATCAAACATTGTGGTATGTATTATTTGTAGACTGTGCCTATCTTTTCTTTTTTTTTAAATCTTTAAAAAAATTTTCAGTTACTGTTGACATACAATATTATATTAGTTTCACATGTACACCTCAGTGATTGGACATTATGAAACTTATTAAGTTATCATCCTGAAAAATCTCATACCCATCTGACACCATATAATTATTAGAATATTATTCACTGTATTCCCTATGCTGACTTTATACCCCCAAGACTACACTATAACTACTAATTTGTACTTAATTCCTTTGTGTTTTTCACCCATCCCCCTAACCCACCTCCCATCTGGCAACTGTCAAGATGTCCTCTGTATCTATGAGTCTGTTCTGCTTGTTTATTATGATTTAGTTGTTGATATGTATGCACTGAGAGGTCAGTGGTTCGATTCCCAGTCAGGGCACGTGCCCAGGTTCTGGGCCCAATCCCCAGGGGGGCATGCAGGAGGCGGCCAGTCGATGTTCTCTCTCATGGATGTTTCTGTCTCTGTCTCTAAAAATCAAAAGAAAAAAATTAAAAAAAAAAAAGTTAAACATCAATCTTTTATCAAAACGAAATACTGAGTTTTCTTTTGAAATTAGGAAAATTGCTAAAACTGACGTGTAGAAAAATTAACCTCTAATATGAGCAGAGTATTTGGAGTTAGGAAATCTCAGGGTTTTGCCACCCCATTGGTTGTCTGATACTGGCATATCACTTAGCTTTTTAACCTTAGAATCGTCAAGGTCATTGTATATACAAGTGGTAAGCCACATAGTACTGTAAGTGTTATGGTACAAATTATGGGCAAGTAAATTAAATCTTTGAGTATAGATAGCACTGTTGCTTACCTCTCTTGTACTCCTTTTCAAAATCTTACTCTTAAGGTTCTTGTTTTGTGTATCAGTGTTTAAATAATACTTATCAGTACTTTCTCTTTATAAAAATATAGGAATAAAATAATATTTGTGATTATAGTAGTAATTTCTATGTTTTATAGCTTAGGGTTACAATAGAGTAATAGTCTTTAGTGACCTTCCTATTGTAAATTTTTAAATTATTTTTTGGCTATAAAAATTATATCAAGTAGTTCCTTTTAATGGTTATTCTTTTTAAATTCCTTTTCTTCAGATACAGAAGTTTACAGTGAGTTTTATCCTGTGCCGCCTCCCTACAGTGTTGCCACCTCCCTCCCTTCATATGATGAAGCCGAGAAGGCGAAAGCAGCTGCGATGGCAGCCGCAGCCGCAGAGACATCTCAGAGAGTAAGGACATGTTATTTCCTTTGAGAATATTATTTTTATTAATTGATATGTACATTTAGTAATATCAAAAATACTAGTTCTTGTATTTGAGTGTTTTTGCCTGTAGATGTTTTTAGTGTTTTACTACTATTTATGTGTCATCATTTTTAGTGAAATTGATCCTCGCCTAGTTAAATTCACCTTCATACCTTGACCTCATTTTTATTTCTGTTTCTTTTGATCTCCCCTTTATCCCATTTTAGCTTGTGGTCCTCCTAGATGTTATCTTTAGCAATACAATTATCAGTTCTTATGCTTGATTTTAGGCATCTCATGTGCTGCTCTTAACCTCCTATCCTTCTGACTCACCTTAGTTGTTCTTCTCTTTCACTTAGACTGCAAGTCCATCAACCTCTTCACTGTCGCTGTTCTTATTTCTCTCCTTACATAGTTTATAGTCCATGGTCCAGCACTATAATCATAAATTCTATTTTTTTCTATTCATGTTTTGTATATTAGCATAATCAGTCTATGATTATGATGATTAGCATAATCAGACTATGAATGAACTCAAGGTAGGATAAAAAGCCCGGAGAAATAACTAACAAGGCCTTCACATTATGTTTGTCAATTCCCCTTTTTTTTCCTCTGTTCTCTTTTATTTTGTCCTTTTAAACATATGCCACCCTAGAATTTTGAATGCTGGTCAAGGATTCTACCTGCCTTTCTCCCTCGTCTTCCCTATCTTAGTACTAGAGATACTCAATGATATACATAAATGTTATTTATACTAGAGATACTAGAGATGCTCAGTGATGTACATAAATGTTATTTCTTGTTTTGGTAAAAGAAGTGGCTGTCTCAGTAATGGAGAATCGATGATAATATATGTATGATCTTACACAGCCAGGTAAAGGCAGACATCATTTACATTTTAGTTTGGCTGCAAGCAGGACTAGGGTTTGTTGCCTTTTTTCCTTTTTCAGACTTTGAAATGTTATTTCAGATTCTTGAATTCATCCCATTTTGTTCAGGAAAACAATAGAAAAAAATAACTTCACCCAGGAAAGCTAGAATTAGGTAAGAGGCTGAGAGAGAGAGAGAGGGAGAAAGAGAGATGTTTCTTTGTACAGCATTCTCCTCTTGCCAGTATTAGAGCCCAGCAGGTAGATTCTCTTGACCTAACTGTGTGATCTTGGGCAGTTCACTTAGCTTGTCAGATCCTCTCTGTATGAACACAAAATTGAAACATTAACACCCAAGTGAGGTTATGTATATGTAACATGGAGATGATGTATATGCATCTCAGATCATGCCACTCATTTGTTCAAAACTCTGTAAGACACCCTCCCTCCCCCCAGTTTGCTCATTAAAGTATAAAGTCTTTCAGTGGACTACCTAACTTCATTTCTTCCCATTTCTCTTATTCTCTGTAGTCGAACCATGCTAGCCTCCTTGCTATTTCTCTAGCATGCCAAGTATGATCCTATCTTAGAACCTCGTGTATAAGGTCCCCATGGGCACTGCTTATTTCTTTGTCTGAACACTTCTCTATGACATGTCTACATAGCTAACTCTTCCTTCTTTAAGTCTTTGCTTAAGTGTCATCTCTTGACTACCGTATTTAATACTGTAACCCGTAACCTCGAGTATTCCTAAACCATCTTTTCCCCCTTTTTTGTAGAGCATTTGCACCTCTTAATAATTGTAGAAATAACTTATTTGTTGTGTCTTTTTTTTATTGTCTGATACCCTTTACTGGAATATAGGTTTCTGAAAGGCAAGCATCTTTGTTTTATGTACATTCATGTGTCCCAGATACCAGGAAGCTGTCTTGTGTAGAATGGCTATTTCATCAATATTTGTTGAATATTAGAGACAATCAGTGATAACATATTTTTTATATACTTTCAGAGAAGTTCTCCACATTTACAAGCAAATACATTAATATCTTGGTTTATCTGGGTTTTTTTTGTATTCTCACCCGAGGACATTTTTGCATTTATCTTCAGATAGAGCAGGAGGGAGAGAGGAGGAAGAGAGAGAGAGAGAAACATCAATGTGACAGAGACACATTGAGTGGTTGCCACCCACACAACCCCAACCGGGCAGGGACAAACTGCAACCGAGGTACGTGCCCTTAGCGGGAACCGAACCTGCGACTCTCCGGTCTGTGGGCCTACGCTCTAACTGCTGAGCTAAACTGGCCAGGGCTCTTGGTATATTTTTGTACACAAAAGGCATTGTACTATACAAGTGATAGTCATTTAATATACTTTGGAGATTGTCATGAGAATATTAACATTTATTCTTATTTAAAATTTTTTATGTTACTTTTTTAATTTCATCAGATATTCAATAACTTATTTTATTGGTCTGTCAAGCATTGTGAATGATCTGAGACTTTACCATAGTTGGCAAACTACTTGATTAGCTTGTCAATTTTGTGAATGTAGGCAGAAGACAGGAGACCGGTGGGGTTAGAGACAAAAACTTTATTATTCACATCAATAGTTTTAGTCAGAGTATTAGCATTTTCTCACACCAGTTTCCTGAGCCTTAGTTCCCCCAGGGCTCCTCAAAGATGGCCACGTGATGCCTCCACACAGTGTGGAACCCTGAATTTAAGGAACACAGTATTTTTCTAATGGTAAATAAGCATGCCCACACCTTTGCTCTGATAGAGACACTCTTTTTCAGAGCAGTCCATGATATACACATCCTTGAACAGATAGTACAGAAAAAAGGCAGCCAGTGCCTTTACCTAGAAAATATGCAGAAACATGAGAGACTCATGGAGAATTATCTCTGATAATACTTCACTATTGATGGGCATTTATGTTATATCTAATCTTTGCTTTTTGTAAGTGGAAGTATAAGTGTATATCTGTACAAAGTATTTGAAGAGCTGGAGTTGCTGGGTCAAACAGGGTGTGTTCATTTTTGTTTTTGATAAATATTGCCACTATTAATTATGAAAGTTCCTGTTTTCCATTTGACACTAATGCAGCATTACATTGATCTTTTTAAATACAATTTTTATTAATTCAGTGTATTCAACTTTTATCTTTTTTGTGTTTACCTTTGAAGTTACTCTTTTCAAGGGTGCCCGTGAAAAATTAACACTTGCTAGACATTGTATTCATTATCTTATTTTGTCTGTGTAACAAATTGAGGATATTAGATTTTATTTAAATTCTTACCTTTATATTCAAGGTAATAAAGTTGTAATTACTTTAGTGAGCTATTCTGATGTCTCTTGTTTTATAGATTCAGGAGGAAGAGTGTTCACCAAGAGATGATTTTAGTGATGCAGACCAGCTCAGAGTGGGTAATGATGGGATTTTCATGCTGGCGTTTTTCAGTAAGTGATATTTTCTTTCCAAACTATTTTTTTTTTTTTTTACATACTGGCTGTGTGTTTTAAAAATAACAGGCAGTGAAGAAAGGCAAATATTGTTAGCATGTATCTGCCTTGTTTAAAATGTAACTTGTTTCTGATACTAGCTAATTGTGATCATAAGTTATATAGTACAAATCCTAGAATTTATAAGATACAGTCGGTCCTCGTTTATCGCGGTTAATCAGCTCCCGACTCTACTGCGATAAATGAATTTCTGCGAAATAGGATTCTTTATTTATAAGTCGAGTATTTTCACAGAGCATAGAAAACCTGTTTACAACTTTCTAAATATGTTTTTAACATTATTAGAGCCCTGTAGACATAAAATAACACCCTATAGTCACCATTACACTCATATTACCCAATATATTAGACAAAATAAGAAAAAATAAGACATATTAGAGGTTACAGATATATTATTATTATTGTACATTTAATTACACACACAAACATAGTTCCACTAACCTATGAAAATAGTGCAACTTGTTTGATAGTGAAGTGATGAAGATGAAGAGATGTATTGCACAGCAAAGAAGAGCAAGGTTACTGCTCCTCTGAAGGCACCACCTCAGTAGGAGAGTCTTCAGGTGGTGCAGTATTTTCAGCAGGTGCGTCGTCATCTTCCTCTGAAGGGGCACTAGGAGTAGGCAGTGGGTGTCTGGGTGCGCGCCTGAAGAACATGATAGGCAGTTGCTGGCACTGTTTTTTCATATGCGTGAGGAGGCTTTTGTAGGGTTCTGTCAGTGCACGCATCATTTGTGGGTCCCATTCACCAATCATGTCCTGTACTACCTTAATAGTTCTCACGACTTGCAAGAGACTCTCAAGTGTAAGGCCAACTTCCTCCTCCTGACCCCCAGGAACCCCTGGCTGCTGTTCCTCCTCACTCGCAGACTTAGTCATCTCCACCAGATCCTCGTCAGTTAAGGGATCTGAATGTGTCTCCAGCAGCTAATCCACATGTTCTGGATGATACTCGCCCTCCTCAAGGATCTTTGTTCACGTAGTCCTCTGCTGTAGAATGGTCAGCAGATGCAGCTTCTCTCTGGAGAGCGACACTCTTCAGATGATACCTCTTTTGGAACTTCTCGAACCAAACCTTGGTCTCTGTGAAATCCACATAAAGTGCTTATAGAGCTGCCTCACCTTCTCCCGGATGACCAGTGAATCCAATAGAATGTTTTTCTTGTGGCTGTCGCTGATCCAAATGGCTAGGGCAGACTCCATTTTCACTATGAACTTATTACGACTCGTCACGACGCGCTTTGCTTCCTTGTTGAAAGAGACAGTAGCCATTGCACAGATGTTCTTTTCATCTTTACTGGTGGAGTGAATGGTAGACTCATTCAAATTGTAATGGCAACCTTCACGATTTTCTTGCCGTCTTTGATCACATCCAAGAGTTTCACCTTCTCCTGGATGGTAAGCATCTTCCTCCAGTGCTTAGTTTCATTGTCAGAAGGCTTAGAAGAAGCAGCACGTTTAGGAGCCATCGTGGGGTTTAGATAAAAGTTGTCAGAAATCGCAAACACAAGAGCAAAGATGCTTCTGATGCATAGTGATGTAGAAGCGAGTATGAGAGAAACGAACTTGCATGAGGCTGAGCCAATCAGTGGCCAGACTAGGAAGAGGATAGGATAGCCAATCAGTGAACAGCACAGTCTGATTGGCTTGGTTTCACTACACCTGATTTTTTTTTGAAAAAACTGACTGCCCCCACATAAGGAGTGGCCAAGCGGTTGCACCTCGTGTTGAAGAATTTGCGGGGGTGCTCAAATATATAGGCCTACAATCCATACGAACAGTAATTTTAATTTTAATTGTAATACAGGTGTGTATAATTGACTCAGACAGCTGAGCGCACACTGTATCATTTTCACTGTCTCAATCAACTTTTTAATGAATATATTTGAAAAAACTGCAATAGAGTGAAGCTGTGAAAGTTGAAGAGCGAAGTGGCGAGGGATGACTGTAACTATTTATTGTAGCCATCATACTAGTTGCTGACTGTATAGAGATACATAAGCATGTTTAAACTAAATATATTTTTGTATGGGAATTGCTGCATCTCCATTCAATATCGGAGGAGCATGTAGAGTGAAACTGTAAATTCTGCTTTTGAGGCAAATGACTTCCACTTGAGTGTCTTTAAACCAGAAGAGAGGTTGGAAAAAGAAGTATTCAGGCAGGTAGAACAATGTATTTGAGACACAAAAGAATGAAAATGTAAGGGTTATTTGAAAATGGTTGAGTAATTAGAAGCCCAGAAACCTAAGTTACATTTTATAACATCTTGCAAAATTCTTAGTTTAATATTTGACTTATAAGTAGATTTAAGATACTTGAGGGAAGACTGTGTTATAGTCTTTTTTATTTCAGTTACTAATTGGCTCCTTGTAAACAGTAAATAAGATTATGAAACTCAATAAACTGTTTAAATTGCTAAAATTAGTTTTAGAAACCTAATATTCATGTAGCCTGTATGATATGGTTAATTTCTGCCCTCAGCTTAGTTAAATGATCAAGTTTTCATACCTTTTTTGATAGAATGCTAATTTAATTCATTTTAATTTATGATTTATTTTGATAATAAAACCGACAAATAGTTTACTTAAGGTTCCACATTCAACTTTAAAAATAGAAGATACATACTTTTTGATTTGAGTTACTTTTGAGTCTGGAAAAATCACTGACCTCTTACTCCAATTTTTTTTTGAAAGACTTTTTAAAAATTGATTTTTAGAGAGAGAGACAAACATCGATGTGAGAGTGAAACATCAGCCTGCTGCCTCCTGCACACCCCCTACTGGGGACTGAGTCCACAACCTGGGCATGTGTCCTGACTGGGAATTGAACTGACAACCTTCTGGTGCATGAGATGACACCCAACCATCTGAGTCACACAGGCCAGGGTTCTTGCTTCCTTTCTTTTATTTCATCTTGTGAAGAACAGAAGTGAATAATCACTCAGAAATGGGTGGGTGAATGGGCAGGCAGTTATATTTTTCTCTTCAGATTTACTAAATTATATTCAGGTTGGCACCAACTAATGTAATACAATATTTAAATCTCATGGTTTAGTTAACCATGTCTAGTTAAATATAATGTTAGATATTATGCAAAGAAAATGAGTGAACACTTTGGCTACAAATAACTACTGTTTATTGTTAGTCTAGTAAACCTTTTTGTCTTAGTTTTAGTTGAGCTGATAACCCTTTATATTGATAGCACACTTTCCACATATTTTGATTACAAGAGTCACATAAACATTGATTCCTTAATTAGAAAAGAATTTAAATTTATTGTACTACGTGTAGTATAAATACCTGTTTGTTAGGAATAAAGATGTTATTTGACACTATCTAATTATGACTCAGAGCTTAGTTATTTCTCCATTTCTGTAGTTCCCAAAACCCTACTTACCTTTTTAGTTTTTACTTTTTTAGATTTGAAAACATTTTACTAATGCAACAGTGTGTAAATGCAATGTGTAACCTAGACACTTGATTGACTTTATTTTTGGCCAGTGGTGGAATATTAATTAATGTAAATGTAAGTATTTATAGTTAATATATATTATAAATTATATGACTTATATTAAAGTTTTACTAAATTATGTTTCTACATTTTATATTTTTACACTATTTCATAGTATACAAATATCGCACCAATATTATAGGAGTAAAATTATAAGTTATTTATCTTTATTTCATTATATATTTTTTTCTGGTGGTTGTAGGCCAGAGCTTGAGCTTATATGCTTTAATGAGCATAGATTTATGTGTGTTCACTGCCATCTAGTGGCTGTTCTACAAATTGCAACTTGTATTTTCTTGCTCCTTCAACTATCTAGTAGTTATTGTCTAGATTGTTCTATTGTCTAAGGTTCAGAAATAGATTTTCTTTAATGTGGTTTATAACTTAAGCATTTCAGGTTATATAAGTTGTCCAAATAAAACTACAGTGAATATCAATTACAACATTTCAGTCAAAACCTTTTGTTGGTTTAATTTTTGCTATCTGTTTTCAATGTCTACATTTCTTTCTCTTACCACATAAAACCCTAAAATAAAAGTTTACACCTAATATGGTAAGATAATTGCTATGTTTATGTTCTGAAAATGTAAAAAACGAAATGTATGTATTCCCGATAATGTTTTAGCTTTGCATAATCCCTTGAAGTGCCACTGAAAAATGCCTTCTACAGGCCTAATTGCCTATTTCTGATCTTATATTTAACAGATTTTCTAAGAGAATGGAGGAAAAAAAGGAAATCAGTTATCATTTAAGAACTAGAAATTGAGATTTTGTTTACTGGATAATTGACAGTGTATGGGAATGACCCTGAACACATTTACTTAAAAACGTATTGGGCTCTATCTAGAAATTTTTTCTTGTAAGGTTGAGCCTTTTGTGTCATGTGTGAATCTTCACATCAGCAAGCTACAGTGGTAATCATTCACCTGCCTCATTTCCATTTTAGACTTGAGAAACACATAATTAAAGAAAAATTAAGTTAATTGTACTTTTAAATTAAGAGTGTTTTGAAATGTGAATTCTGACTTGTAAGAAATTACCAAACTGTTTTCCATAGTGGCTGTACCATTATATATTTCCATCAACAGTGGATGAGAACTCCTCTTGCTCTTCATCCTCCTCAGCATTTAGTGTTGACATTAAAAAAAAAAAGACATTCCAATAGATGTGTGATAAGTCATTGTGGTTTTAATTTGCATTTCCCTAACAATTAATTATGTTGAACATCTTTACTTAGTAAATTCTTTTGAGCACCTACCACAAACAAGTCATAAAAGTTAGTTATTAAAGGGGTTGTCTGAACACCACCCCTATGAAAAACAGTACATTGATGATCTGTTCTCTGCATATAAAGCTGTGTTTTTTTTTATAAGCATTCAGATGGCATTACACATTGTAAGTGAATCCAGTTAACGAACATTTAA